GTTTCTAGCGAGTGGAATTTCGAGTGATCTTATTACAGCACGAAACACTGCAAAAACGCACGATCGCACGGGTCCGCCGGTGCGCGTCGCCAGTGATTTAATTAGCTTCTAGCACTGCGCCTTAGCAAGAGAATAATTTAGTTCTTACTTATACGAGCAAAATATTTACAGTATTTTGGTCCTCTTCATTATTAATATGCTATAAATGTGAGGTGATCGCACTATTTCGCAATAAAGACATTTCAGGAGAAAACCCAGGAGATGGATAAGTGCTACAGTAAAATGGGCTCTCTGTTTCGCAGTGGACCGCGCACCACATTTTTCGCATCACAGGTATTGCTCCCCCGTGTTATTTCCCGAACACACCTACGTTTCTGCATTTCTAGCAAATATCGTTCTACAGTATATATGTTTAGCTCCAAAAAAAATTGGGCATATTCATCTGTTGTCTAGGAGAAATTCCACTAGGAGTAGCTGACAGCAGTGTTCTCACGGTTTCTGGAGTTGTAAAGTGAACAGAAAATAAATTGAGCTGCAAACATCCTGAGGTGACAGCTTTCATGTACGCCTGTACTACCGCGTATCAGACACATGAAGATTGAAATTGCTATCACTTTTTCAACTCCACAATCGAACCAAGTTAGGAACCGAATGTTTTCGTTGCGCTTATCCTAGAAATGACTGACAAAGCGGCTTGAATGCTTCGCCATGAATTAATGCACTGGGATATCGAATGCCCAGTCCTTCAGCTTCGAGTTGTTCTACTTAACAGTTTATTTTACTACCAGCACGCATATACTGAAGTGACTTGCAATTATCAGTTTTTGCCAAAATGAGTATTGTCACTTTGCTGATAATGACTGTTACATTCGACGATCAGGTGGAGCGATTCGCAGATCTGTACTCATCAAGCTGCTATAATTTGCTTCATTATCCGCAATTTTACTTCTTCCGGGCACCGATGACTCTGATGCCGCACGAAATCAACATCGACAGAAGCTTGCACGACAAAGTTTCTAATCAACAACCAAGTAATGGTATTTCTGTAGTACGTTCGGCGATATTCCTCTGTCCCATCTAAACCTCAGAGCAGTAGGATCGAGGCTCCTCGCTCTAGTGGTCAATTACCAAGTTATTTACTAGGCTACTAGACATTATTTACAAAAGCGCATCGCATAACTTTTGCTGATTTAGTAAACGAGTTCAAAAACTTTGTTCTCAGTCAGAAAAAACTCCATGCGCCTGAAAATAACAAAGGAGCCATTGTGCGACAAGTCGAAGAGTTTAGCGCGTAATCGTTTTTAGAAATACTATCGGTAAGTGAACTGTGTCAAATTTCGGAAAGCCCACGTTTTCATAACTCACCCCCAATTTTAACTCAGCCTGGAATGTACCGGACAGGCCCATGCATTTTTGCACTGGAGTTGAAGTACTCATTAACTGCATAAATGGTTTTTGCTTTACATCTACCTTTTGCGGTCACTAGCATAAATTACCATAAATTTTGCATAAGATAAATGTACAATTTCCATTTAATGGTCGTTCTTTAAAAGTAACCTAGCCGTTCAGTGAGAAATTTTTCTGCCAAAAATTTAACTACCCGCACGTAAGAACCACGCATATCTCAAGGTTGAATTTGAAATACTCAAGCTGTATATTGACAGGGGACATTCTCCTAAAATTTCAGCTTTCTAGCTTTTCTCGTTAGTAATTTTCCCGCAGGAACTTTCATATGCCCTTATGTGAGTACCTCGTACAGCTTGGGACTGAATTTGAAATGTTTGAGTCGTACTTGGACAGGGTATACTCCCGAAATTTCAGCCTTCCAGTTTTTCTGGTTATCGAGTTAGCAATTTTTCCGTTAAAACATTCACATGCCCGTACGTGGGTACTCCACGCGTATAGAAGGCTGAACTTTTAACTTGCACGTGGACAAGCAACATCTTCCTAAAATTTCGGCCTTCCAGCTTTTCTGGTTGCCGAGTTAGTAATTTTCTTGCAGAAATTTTCATATACTCTTATGCGACTACTACGCGTAGATTGCAGCTGAATTTGAAATAGCTGAGCTGTACTTGGACAGGGAACATTCCCTCAAAATTTCAGCTTTCTAGCTTTCCTGGCTCCCGAGTTAGCAATTTTCCCGCCAAAACTTCCATACGCCCTTATGTTAGTACCACGCATATTTGGGGGCTGAATTTGAAACCTTTAGCTAGCACATGAACAGGGAATATCCCTACGAAGTTTCAGCCCTAGCTTGTGTGACTCCCGGGATCGCTTTCCCGCCAAAAAATTTGCATGTTTCCTTAAAGCGTCCGTACGGG